GCTGCGGCATCGCTACCCAGGGCTCCTATCCGCTGATGTAGAGTGGAAATCCAGTTGGAAGTGGCCGATTAGGCCCCTAATCTGGGGCTTTTTCGACAAGGAGGAATGATTGGTCTCCGAGGACATCCGACCTTCCTGTGGGCTAGATCTAAGGAAACGCTACCCAAATGATGCTTTATCTTGGTTTAGCGTGGTATTTCCTCGCCGTCCCACGAGAGCCACGAGGCTTAAACCGTTCATAATGTAATGTCTGTACTTCGAGGCTTTGAACAAATCCGGTTTTATGCACCATCCCTGTCGCCAGCGCCGAGCTCCAGTCCAATCGGGTTCAATTGACGTGGGCCTCAATAATTTCCAGCTGTGTTGGTTTCTGATTTGCATAATTACATATTAAAATGGAATATTAAACCTATTCCCAAATATAGGGATTTGTCTCTTTCGTTATTTTCGTAACCTATAATTTTTGAGCTAGTATTATTATCTATCTATACACATCATAAAAGTGAAAATTGTGTATGTGTATATGTGGCGGAGGTGTCCACTTGATTGGACATCCCAGGGTTCCTTTCTCTCTCTCTCTCCAGTGGTGTGGAATTTACATGATCCCATCCACTGTCTTTCCTGTAACCCTTCCTTACCCTTTCCTATGGGATACAGCGGACAGGAATTGATCAGGAACTGAATTGACCTCAATTGGACATCCCATGGTTCCTTTTTCTCTCAATTGGTGTGGAATTTACATGACCCCGGCGACTGCTTTTCCCTTAACCCTTTCCTATTCTTTCCTATGGCATACAGTGGACAGGAATTGATCAGGAACTGAATTGACCTCGATTGGACATCCCAAGGTTCCTTTCTCTCTCTCCATTGGTGTGGAATTTACATGACCCCGCCCACTGCCTTTCCCTTAAACCTTCCCTACCATTTCCTATGGCATAAAGCAAACAGGAATTGATCAGGAACTGAACAAGTGGTTTGGGGAAAATTGACCTTGATTGGACATCCCAGGGTTCCTTTCTCTCTTCATTGGTGTGAAATTTACATGATCCCGCCCACTGCCTTTCTTGTAACCCTTCATTACCATTTCCTATGGCATAAAGCAAACAGGAATTGATCAGGAACTGAACAAGGTATTTGGGGGGAATTGATCTTGATTGGACATCCCAGGGTTCCTTTCTCTCTCTCCATTGGTGTGGAATTTATATGACCCCTGCCCACTGCTTTTCCCTTAACCCTTTCCTACCGTTTCCTATGGCATACAGCAAACAGGAATTGATCAGGAACCAAACAAGAGGTTTGGGAGGAATTGACCTCGATTGGACATCCCAGGGTTCCTTTCTCTCTCCATTGGTGTGGAATTTACATGACCCAGCCCACTGCTTTTCCCTTAACCTTTTCCTACCCTTTCCTATGGCACACAGCAAACAGGAATTGATCACGAATTGAACAAGAGTTTTGGGGAGAATTGACCTTGATTTGTAGGAGCTGTAGTTCACCTATATCCAGACAGCACAGTGAACCCAACCCACGATAGATCTGGACCACACTTGCCACGGATGATGGGATTTGCAGTACCTGTGACTTTAGTTTTGGCTTTCAGTCTGCTGAGGTTAAAGAGCTTGCCATCGTATGCTTCTGCAAAGGTGTTTAGAGTGGCTTGTAGGTCTTCTGAATGTGCACAGACTACGTTATCATTGGCATATTGGAGTTCTATAACAGATGCTGTTGTTAATTCCCTTTGGTTTCCTTCAGATTCAAATGTTGTCGGCCATTTCGTATCCGTCACGAAGTTGTTCCCAGTTAGGTTTCCAGTCTGGAATAACAACAAAATAGTACTAATAATAATGATAATAATAATAATAATATAAGAGGAAGGAAATGGCAGCAATTGGCACAAAAGCGGCCATTTTAAACAGGAGGGGAAAAGGCGGGAAAGAATAAAGCATCCTTTTGAGGCAACTCAATATGAGAGACTGAAGTAATTTGGCCTTTCTTGAAATAAAAGGCAATAAAACCTTTCTTTGGCTAAAAATGCCTCTTAATTAACCCTGTGCTTAACGAGGTTTTGATCCTTGTCCTTCCTTCCAGTTATTTTTATTAATTACTTTGTGTTTTGTTTGAAAATAGTCCTTTTTTTGGCCTTCAAGGCCTGTTTTCTCCCAGTCGGCCATCTTGGGCCTCTTCCCCTTCAGTCCCTTCTCTGGTTTTGTGAGCAGTTGGTTGGAATTTTCCCTTGTTTCTCTCCATTGGAGGCAAAATTAGGATGATTTACTTCCTTTTTACATAATTAGTGGTTTTTAAAAAGAATAATTTGGCTCAAAATCTCCCCAAAACTGCCTCAGATTGGCTCCATTGTCAAAGGACATTGTCAGAGTTGGTCTGCCTCAAAAGTCGCCTTTTCGGGTCTTTATTTTGCAATAATTCACCAAATAATTAAGCAAAATGGGGTTAGAGTTTGCAATAAGGGTTTATTTTCATTGTGTTTTTGGATTCGGCACATAAAATACATTAAAAGCAATAACTATGTAGACAAAAGTTTCTTTTTTTTCTATTACAGGCCTGTTGGAAACATATACTTCAAATTTGCTGGATCCAGTTGCTTTTACAAAGTATAATAATAATAATAATATATGTCATATATTATATATATCATACATTATTATTATTATTATTATACAATAATATTATATTAATATAATATATATTCTATTTTTTCTGTTAGATAATATATATTGTATATTATATAATAATAACATTATGTTAATATATATTGTGTTCTATTATATAATATATATTATACAAGAAAAATATTATATTAATATATATTATAGTATATATGTTAATATAATATATATTCTATTGTATTATTATATAATATTATATATTATATACAATATTATTATATTAATATAATATATATTATATGCTTTTACTATTATATATTTATATTAATAATAATATTATATTAATATAATATATTAATTCTATTTTTTCTGTTAGATAATATATATTGTATATTATAATAATAATAACATAGTTAAATCATAAATCTATTTTTTCTGTTAGATAATATATATTTTATATTTATTATGCTCATTCTTATTTTCTTATATTTATTCTTATTTTCTTATATTTATTATGCTCATTCTTATTCTTATTTTCTTATATTTAGTATTATTTTTATATTTAGTATTATTTTCTTATATTGGTATTATTTTTTCTTCTTCTTTTCTTTATTATTATTTTCTTATGTTTTATTATTAATTTATTATATTTATTATTATTAATATTATCTTACATTATAATATTTATTATTATACATATATTTTTATATTATAGTATATATAATATATGATTTGTATATTGTATTATTTTATACTATGTTATATATTATATCATATATTTATATTATATATTATTTTACATTATGCTTTTATATTATACTATATTATATATTAAATATTATATTATATACATTCATTTCTTTATATAGTTTATACTATATATTACATATTATACAAGAAAAATATTATATTAATATAATATATAGTCTATTCTATTATTATATAATATTATATATTATACAATAATGATATTATATTAATATAATAATATTGTATAATATATATATTATATAATAATAATAATAGAACAGAATACATATTAATATAATATCATTATTGTACAATATATATTATATTATATTACAGTAATAGAATAGAGTATATATTATATTAATAATATAATAATATTATTATTGTATGATACATACAATATCATACAATAATTGTTGATCGAAAGGTCACAGGTTCAATTCCGGGGAGCGGCGTGAGCTTCCGCTGTCAGCCCTAGCTTCTGCCAACCTTGCAGTTCGAAAACATGCAAATGTGAGTAGATCAATAGGTACCGCTCCGGCGGGAAGGTAACGGCGCTCCATGCAGTCATGCGCCACATGACCTTGGGGGTGTCTACAGACAACGCTGGCTCTTCGGCTTAGAAATGGAGATGAGCACCACACCCCAGAGTCAGACATGACTGGACTTAATGTCAGGGGACAACTTTTACCTTTACCTTATGATACATAATGTTAATATAATATGTATTCTATTCTATTATTACTATATAATATATGTATTATACAATATTATTATATTAATATAATAATATATATTCTATTCTATTCTATTACTATTATATAATATATATTATACAATAATAATATATTATGTTGATACAATATATATTCTATTATATTATTATATAATATAATATATATTCTATTATATTATTATTCTATAACATTATGTATCATATAATAATAATAATAATAATAATAATAATATATACTCTATTCTATTATTGTAATATTATATATATTATACAATAAGAACATTATTAATATAATATAATATATTGATTAGCCAGCTAATGGTACCTATTGATCTACTCATATTCATATGTGTTTGCACTGTCTTTTTTTCATAAGGCTAGCTGGTTAATCAATAAAAATTGTTGTTGTAATATAATATATATTCTATTCTATTACTATTATATTATATGATATATGTCATACAATAATATGTTGATATAATATATATTCTATTCTATTATTATTCTATAATATTATATATCATACAATAATAAAATAATTATATTAATAAAATATATAGTTTATTACTATTACTATTATACAATAATATATATTATACTATATATATATTACACAATCATGTTATTATTATTATATATAATATAATATATATGAATTAATATTTGTACTTTATTCGTCTATAATATTATATATCATACAATAATAATATAATTATATTAATATATATAGTCTATTCTATTACTATTATACAATAATATATATTATACTATATATATATATTACACAATCATATTATTATTATATAATAATATATTATATATTATATATATGAATTAATATTTGTGCTTCATTCGCAGCTAACCAAAAGGGCCGGTAATAATTGGAAAGAATGGCGACTGCTCAGAAACAAAGGACTTCTCTGGTAGGGTTCAATTAATTTTATTTCAAATTTTAAATATGCAAAGCGAAGCTGAAAACACAGGTTCACCGGATTGTAAGAGCAACGCTCTCTTTGTCACATTTCAGAGCGCGGCCATATTTCCCACTAAAATAACCACCGAGCAGCAGTCACTGGTATTAGTGAAGAGGTTACTGGCCATCGCCGTCTCCTGCATAACTTACCTGAGAGGCATCTTTCCAGAATGCGCCTATGGGACAAGATATCTGGACGGTAAGAAAATTTCCTACCTGGATAAAGGGTCCTTTACCTCTTGAGAAAAATGCAATGTGGTATTTGGAAGCAATAGACAAGTGGTGTCCAGGGCTTGATGGCCATCTGTCGAGAGCACTTTGTGCTTTTCCTTCATGGCATATAATTATACTGCCATATAATTCAATTTCTGAATCCAGATTATCTGCTTTGAACTGGATTATAGGAGTCTACATTGCCAGATAATCTGGGATAAGCAGATAATCTGGGATCAGATCCTGAGATATAGGGGCAGTGTAGAAGATCCTAAGATAGTGAATGACTATCGTACTTCAGAGCAGAAACACCTCTGACTTTAAGCACCATGCCAGCTTGGAAAAATCAGCAATCCGTTTATTGAAGATTATATGTAAGCAAAGCAGTAAAAAAAATAGCAAAACAGTAAAGATCCAATATGAGAAATATGAGAAATAGCCCATCAGCTTCAGAGGAGAACAAGATCCGTGAGTACATAAAAATCCATGGAACTAGGCACTTGAATCCACGTGTTATAGAACAGGAATTTAGGGGTCTTTGCCAGGAGGCAGAGACCAATCAGACTCTTTAAAGAGTTCGTTACCCTGGCAAGACAGAGAGAAGCACCCAATCCCAGATTTTTCCCAATAAAAGGTCTCACCAAGTGGAAGGAAGTGCCACCGAGATGTTTTATTTGCGATTCAGCTGAAAAGGATGCAGAGCAGCAATCATTCGCCAAGCAGAGCATGTGGTTACAGAAGTAAAGGCCATTTCTATAGAAAATACAGAGTTGTGAGTTTCAAAATTCCCGCTCCCCCCTCCCACCCAGCTCGAAGGGGATTGGCTGACGCACAAACAGCTGGGAGGAGGCTTGGCCGTCCCCCATGCATCAAGGCCAATCGCAGGGCTTTCGCGGGGCGCCAGAGCCTATCAGGAGGCTCCTGCTATCTCGATGCTCCAGCGAATCAGAAGGGAGGGAGGCGGGATGAAGGGAGACAATGCATTCTGGAGTAGATTATAGGATTTCAATGTCTTGATGCTTCTTGAGTCCGGAATCGGCCTTCTAAAGAAACTAACTTTATTGTCCTTAGATGGGGCAGTGATAAGTAATGATGACTTAATCCAGGTTTTCCTCTTACAATCAGATAGGGCACAAAGGGGAAACTTTTGTGAATGTCCTTAGTGGAAAGATTTGAAAGAAAAATGGCTTGGAGGAAAAGAGGACTTTCCTAAGGTCATATTCCCCCCCATCGTTATATGATTAAAAAGTCTGCCAGACAGGAACCCTTAAGATGGCCCAACTCTGAAGTCAAAAGGATGTCCTTTACTATGGTCCATGCAAAGAATGTCCAAAGAGAAGGGTCTTTTCATGATTGCTGATTGCTTTTCCAGAGGCAGGGCAGCTTCCTTGTAGATTTCCCCCAAGGAGAGGGGAAGGGGGCAAAAGGGTCAGGGCAAGGTCAAATACATGAAGGGAAATATAGAAATACAGGAGAAAATATGAAAATATAGAAATCATAATACAGAGTAAACCCAACTCCCTTCCCCCAGTGTCCATAGTTCATATTATTCATAGGAAGGTCCATAAACGGAAATATATCCCTGAGGGAGAAAGAGAGTCCCTTGTTTGTGAGATGGGGGACCATCAGGAGCCCAGGTGTGTCTCAGATGGAAAAAGTCAAATACTTTTGTGGCATGATTTTCAGTAATAAATGGGTTACCTTCTGCTGTAAACATATGAAAATAGGGCATAAAGCCTTGATTAAATGATACACACCAAATTGACCAAGGCTTAACCCTAGGACAATTGCAGCAATTCCTGGATGACACAGCTGGCCTGGACCCTTTCCAGTCAGGTTTTCGCCCGGATCATGGGACGGAGACAGTCCTGGTTGCCATTACGGATGAACTCCGTCGCTAGTCTGACAATGGTGGATCCGCACTACTGGTACTTCTCGACCTTACCGCAGCGTTTGACACCGTCAACTACGATCTAATGATTCACCGTCTTGCCATGTCCGGAGTTCGCGGTCAGGCCCTCAATTGGTTCAACTCATTTCTCCGGAACCGGAGTCAACGGGTGGAGTACATGGATCAAGTCTCCAATAGATCCCCCCTCCTATGTGGGGTCCCCCAAGGTGCAATTCTCTCTCCTCTTCTCTTCGACATCTACGTTAGACCCCTTGCTAGTTTGGCTCGGAGTTTCGGCCTGGACTGCTACCAATATGCGGACAACACCCAACTCCTTCTTCGCTTGGAGCTGGGAGCAACGCCAATTCCAGACACTTTCACCCGATGTCTGGAAGCTCTGTCAAACTGGCTACGTGCTAGCAGACTGAAGGTGAACCCGGCGAAGACTGAGATTCTCTGGCATGGCCGCCCGGCAGGTCTGTCTCCTCCATTACCTACCTTCGATGGTGCCACCCTATCTCCATCGACCACTGTTAAGAGCTTAGGTGTCGTTCTGGATTCACAGCTGACAATGGAAGCTCAGGTCGCTGCTGTCAGCAAATAGGCCTTTTTCCATCTACGACAAGCGAGGCAACTGGCACCCTACCTATCTGACGAGGCTCTGGCAACTGTCATCCATGCCATGGTCACGTCTAGGCTGGACTATTGCAACGCCCTGTATGTTGGCCTTCCGATGTCTACAACCCGAAAGCTTCGTATTGTTCAGAATGCGGCAGCCAGGTTACTCACAAGAATGCCCATGAGATGCCATATAACACCAGTGCTGCAACATTTACATTGGCTTCCAACTGAGTACCGTGGCCTGTATAAGAGGCTAGTTCTGACCTTTAAAACTCTTTATGGCCAGGGTCCATCGTATCTTAGGGACCACCTCTCCTTCTCCCATCATCGGAGGTCGCAACGACCAGCACAACGTGACTTACTCCATATGCCGGGTCCTAGAGAAGTGCCCTTGGAAAGGACCAGGCGCAGGTGGCCTTTCTCTATTTCTGCCCCTGCCTTGTGGAATTCCTTGCCGCCCTACATGAGAGCCATGCGTGACTTAAGGCCTTTTACTCTCACACTTAAGACCTGGCTTTTTACTAGAGCATTCGATCCCTGTTAATTTTTAATTTTTGTATGTATGTATTTTATCTTTTATAATTTAGCTGTAAATCGCCTAGAGCATTCTCGGATGGAGGGCGATTAATAAGTTATTAAATGATGATGATGATTATGATGATGATGATCCAGCCTGGTGTCCTTGCCCTTAGCAAAACTATAAGTTCTCTAATGGTGGGGAGGGGGGGGGGGTCATGTTCGACTTCAGATGCTCAATGAATATTAGTGCCGTCATTAGGCAGAGGCAGGCCCCAGAGAGAGATGATTTTAGGTGTCTTGAAAGCATAGCCAGCTGTTAAATATTTCATTTATTATTGACTTATTTTTTTCCCACCAGGCAATAGGAGAATAACTCCTAGGATTTTCTGCCTCTGGTGGCACAAGCCCTATTCTTAGCCTTGGGAGCATTCATTTCTGTCTGCAGCACCCCCGATGTGTACAAAATGCACTATTTCTTCAGTCTCTCAGGGTCGGAGATGTTTCTGGAGCAGAATCTCTTTGAATGAGCCAAAAAATTGGCAGTACGTTGTGGTTATGGTTTCTTTAAAACATCTTTTTGATTGTCTTTTAAGATTTCTGTGTGAAAATACTAAGGGAAGACAAAAACTGCCCTAGCTCCAGCCAGCTGGTGAAATGGTACGTAACCTGCAATTTCCAGAGCTTTTATGGGTTGTGGGACTATTGAGGGATAGATCTTCAACATGACAAGAGCAAAGGGTTGTCCAGATCACACATTGACATTTTGATGAGCCATTTTACTAAGAATGGGTGGTCGCCCCAAGGCAATGAATCTACAATCCCAGGTTAGCAGTAGAGGAAAGGAAGAGAAATAGAAGCATAAGGAGACACGTAAACAAACATAAGAAGGGTTTGGTGGGCATTGACCTTGAGTTTGGAGTTGTAGTTCACCTAGATCCAGAGAGCACTTTGGGCTCAAACAATGATGGATCTGGACCAAACTTGGCACGAATTCTCAATATGCCCAAATGTAAACACAAGTGGAATTTGGGGAAAATAGACCTTGACATTTGGGAGTTGTAGTTCCTGGGATTTATAGTTCACCTACAATCAAAGAGCATTCTGAACCCTACCAAAGAGGTTATAATCTATGGTCCTTCAGAACTTTTAGACTTCTGCTGTCCCAAACGTTGGGGAAATTGTTTGGTTTTGGAAGTTAAAGTCCAAAACAACCGGACCAAGGTTTGAAAACAATTGTGGGCCCATCTACACTGCCGTATAATCCAGTTTCTGAAACCAGATTATCCGCTTTGTGCTGTATTATATGGTAGTGTAGACTCATATAATTTAGTTCAAAGCAGATAATCTGGGATCAGATACCGGATTATATAGAAGTGTAGATCTAACCTTGGGCCCCTGGTGGTGCAGCGGGTTATACCGCTGAGCTGCTGAACTTACTGACCAAAAAGTTGGCGGTGCAAATCCAGGGAGCGGGGTGATTTTTTTAAAAAAAAAGCAAAATAGTGATGGATAATGTATATATCAACGAACTATGAAGCAGTAGTTTTATTTGATTTTTACAGGATGTTGGGGTGCTATGATGCGCTGCAGAAAAAATATGTAAGTTATTTATTTATTTACTATATTTATATACCGCCCCTATATATATATACCGCCCCTCTCAGCCCAGCAATTGCCTCAACAATTATGACAAGTAAAGACAATCAAATTCTGTTAAAAACAATAGCATATATAAAAATATGAAAACATTATCATGAGCGTCTCCATGTCAAATCGTTATTCCATTGCGTTATCAAGTAGATCCATGATTCCGTTTAGCTATGCCGTATTTGAGAAGGCCTGCTCAAAAAGCCAGGTTTTCACATTTTTTCAAAAAGTCTGGAGGGAGGCAGCTAATCTTATATCTCTAGGCAGGGCATTCCACAGCTGAGGGGCCACCACTGAGAAGGCCCTGTCTCTCGTCCCCGCCAGACGCATCTGGAAAGAAGGCGGGAGCGAGAGCAGGGTCTCCCAGATAATCTTAACATCCTAGATGGTTCATAACGAGAGATACATCCAGATAGGTAAACTGTGTGATTTAAGCTTGAAAGAACATGGAACACTTAGCTTGTTATTGTATTGGTTAAGCACATTTAAATCTTTCTGATTGCAATTCTGTCTTTTTCTTGTATTTTAAATAGCTGCGACTAATCATGCTGGCGGTAAGTTGCATGTGTGTGTGTGTGTGTGTGTACTGTAAACAGTGTTCCCTCACTACTTCACGGTTTGCTTTTCGACTCCCAGTTTATGCATTACTGTTATTATTACATTTATTACATTTATTACTATTAGAAGGATTCGTAAGAAGGTTAGAATAATGGTTTAATCAGAGCTGGACAGTCTTATCTTATATTACAATTTTATGTAAATATTCAAAAACATTTAACCTACTGATGCCTCAATTAATGTAATTGTATTGGTATCTATGTATATTTTGAAACTGACCCATAGCTGATGTATTTCCCACCCTCGGCTTAGACTCGAGTCAATCCGTTTTCCCGTTTTTTTGTGGTAAAATTAGGTGCCTCGGCTTATATTCGGGTTGGCTTATATTCGAGTATATATGATATATACCAACATGATTAACTATTATTTATTATTTATTTATTTACTCCATTTGTATACCGCATTTATCAGCCTGAAGCGGCGACTCAATGCGGTTTACAGTAAAAATAAACAACACTGACAATATATAAGACACACGTACACAAACGACACACATATAGTCATCAACGCCTCAATTAGAGTCAGATCCCGTTCTCACAGTCCTTTTTCGTTCCTTGTTCAAATGCCGTCTTACTGAGTTAGTTGTTATTGCATAGTTATCCGAATGCCTGCTCATAGAGCCACATCTTAACCCTCCTCCGAAACACCAGCAACGAAGGGGCCTGCCTGATGTCGACTGGTAGGGCATTCCATAGCCGAGGGGCCACCACCGAGAAGGCCCTGTCTCTCGTCCCCGCTAACCGCGCTTGTGACGCTGGCGGGACCGAGAGCAGGGCCTCCCCGGACGATCTTAACGTCCTCGCCGGTTCATAGGTGGAGATGCGTTCGGAGAGGTAAGTGGGGCCGGAACCGTGTAGGGCTTTATAGGCTAAAGCCAGCACCTTGAATTAAATTAAATTCAATTTAATTTAATTCAAATTAAATTAAATTTTCTGTGATGGTATTTGGCTTTGAATATTGTGTATTGTGTATTTTTTTATTGTAGGTCTACACTGACCAGGAGGACCCACAGGTAAATTAATGATGACATGTTTCATTTAGAACTATATGCTTAAACACACATATAGATATAATATTATAATATTGTATATACATATAATATTTATAATATTATAATGTAATGCAATATAATACTAATAATAATATGATATTACAATTATATATTTATATTACATGTAATATTACTAATAATATTACAATATAATGGTATAGTACAATATAGTAATATTTAATACTGATATTGTACTATGCTAATTTTATTTATTTATTTATTTATTTTTATTTTATTTCGAACACTTTTTACCCCGCCCTTCTCAACCCCTGGGAGGACTCAGGACGGCTTACAATTGGCAATAATTCAATGCCGCATCATAAAATACAGAATAACAAATATAACAATTAAACATCAACATTAATAAATAAAAATTAAAACCGAATACTTACACTCTGAGAGGGAAAGAAAGAAGGAAAGGGAAAAGGAAGGAAGGAAGGAAGGAAGGAAGGAAGGAAGGAAGGAAGGAAGGAAGGAAGGAAGGAAATAGGTAGAGAAGGAAGAAAGAGAGAAAGGGAGGAAAGAAAAGGGAGAAAAGTGAGAAGGAAGGAAGAGGAAGGAAAGGAAGGAAAGGAAAAAAAAAGAAAAAGGAAGGAGAGGGGGAAGGAGGGAGAGAAAGAGGGAGAAAGGAAAGAAAGGAAGAGAGAAGGAAAGAAAAAGGGAAGAAAGAAGAGAAAAGGGAAGGAAGGAAAAGAAGAGAAGAAGGAAGAAGAGAAGCGAAGGAAGGAAGGAAGGAAGGAGTAAGAAGGGAAAAAGGAGAAAAAGAGGGAAGGAAAAGAAAAGGGGAAGGAAAGATAGAGAAGAAGGAAAGAGAGAAGGAAAGAAGAAAGGGGAAGGAAGGGGAAGAGGAAGGAAGAGGAAGAGGAGGAAAAGGAGAAGGAGATGAGAAACGGGAAGGAAGGAAAGAAAGAAAGAGAAGGAAGAAAAGAGACAGAAGAAGAGAAAGAAAAATTGGGAAGGAAGGAAAGAGATGGAGAAGGAAGTAAAAAGAGAAGGAAAGACGGGAAGGAAGGAAGGAAAGAGGGAGTAAAGGAAGGAGGGAAAGAAGGAAAGAAAGATGGAAGGAAAGAAGAAAAGAAGAAGAAAGAAGGAAGAAGAAGGAAAGAAGGAGTGAAGGAAGGGGGAAGATGTAGAGAAAGAGGGAGGGAAGGAAAGAAGGAAAGAGAGAAAGAAGAAAAGAGGGACAGCAGAAGAGAAAAAGGGGGAAGGAAGGAAAGAGATAGAGAAGGAAGGAAGAGAAGAAAGATGGGAAGGAAGGAAGGAAGGAAGGAAGGAAGGAAGGAAGGAAGGAGGGAAAGAAGGAGAGAAAGAGGGAAGGTTGGTTACAGCAATGCGTGGTGGGTACAGCTAGTGTGTGTGTGTGTGTGTGTGTGTGTGTGTATATATATAGCCTGAGTCCCCTTTGGGGTGAGAAGCGCTGCATATAAATGTTGTAAATAAATAAATAAATGTTAACTACTGTACACCTTTAGGTTTCTAATGCTTTGCATTTGGTCAGAAGACACAATTATTTTCACTACACATGCTTAAGCACACCTATAGATACATATGGCTTGTTTAATCATTGCCATATGAGGGCCCACTTGTCATATTTTCCCTATTTTACCACTGTTTTATTTTCCTTCACCTTCTTTCTTCCTAACAGAAAGTCGGTGAAGGAGAGCAAGATGAAAAATGCTTCTAATGTATTTCTATTGGTTTGGAAGCAGTCTGTGTTTGAGGGTTGACCTCTGTCAAAGATGAAAGGGCCCCTGTAATGGAAATCATTAAAATAGCCGTTTGAAGGGAACGGTTTCCTATAATTAGGGTGCTTTTCTGCCACAGCTACATGCCAACACCTTCTCTCTTTCTGACAGTCTCCATCTCTCCCCGACACCTGACATCTCCCCGACACCCTTTTCCCACAATTCCCTGAGTCAAATATTGTATTTTCATAGGAATTTCTTGAAGTTGTTGTAATAGAGCATATTCCATTCAAAACTTGATTTCTCCTTTTTTGCCATTGGCATAAATATCAATACAGGAAGCTGGGGAAACTGCTATAGGTTTCAGTCCCCGAGAATAAATTTGTCCCTGTTTTCTATTTTGAAGCACGAAATGAAAATTAATTATGTGTTCCCAATTTTTTGTTTAGCTAGATTATCTCTTTTTTGTAAGATACCAACAAAACCTTTGTCGAATACACATTTCTGAGAATTATACTCAATCAGTCATCCGCTAGGTGTCACTCTCCCTCTATGGCAGTGTTTCTCGACCTTCCTAATTCTGTGACCCCTTAATACAGTTCTCATGTTGTGTTGACCCCCAACCATAAAATTATTTTTGTTGCTACTTCACAACTGTTATTTTGGTACTGTTACGATTTGTCATGTAAATATCATATGCAGGATGTATTTTCATTCAATGGACCAAATTTGGCACAAATACCCAATATGCCCAAATTTGTATACCAGCAGGGTTGGGGAGGGGGGGTTGATTTGGTGATTTGGAAATTGTCGTTTTCTCCAGTGGTTTTTGAGTTCTGTTAATACCACAAACGAACATTACATTTTTATTTATATAGACTAGCTGTCCCCTGCCACGCATTGCTGTGACCCAGTCTGTGTATATGTGTTTTGTGTGTGTATATATTTGTGTATATATATGTGTTTGTATATACGGTATATATGTGGTTTTGCACATATGTTGTTATGTAATTTTCTTTGCTTTTAAAGTCTCTTCTGTTGTGTTTTTCAGGGATGGTCACTCGTTGGCTTGATATGTGTTTTGTGTCTAAATTTGGTGTCAATTCATCCAGTGTTTTTTGAGTTCTGTTAATCCCACAAACGAACATTACATTTTTATTTATATAAGACTACCCGTCCCCTGCCACGCGTTGCTGTGCCCCACTCTGGTGGTCATGGGGGTTCTGTGTGGGAGGTTTGGCCCAACTGTATCGTTGGTGGGGTTCAGAATGCTCTGTGATTGTAGGTGAACTCTAAATCCCAGCAACTACAACTCCCAAATGTCAAGATTCTATTTTCCCCAAACTCCACCAGTGTTCACATTTGGGCATATTGAGTATTTGTGTAGAGTTTTGTCTGGATCCATCATTGTTTGAGTCCACAGTGATCTCTGGATGTAGGTGAACTACAACTCCAAAACCAAAGGACACTGCCCACCGAACCCTTCCAGTATTTTCTGTTGGACGTGGGAGAACTGTGTGCCAAGTTTGGTTCAATTCCATTGTTGGTGGGGTTCAGAATGTTCTTTGATTGTAGGTGAAGTTTAAATCCCAGCAATTACAACTCCCAAATGACAAAATCATTGTTTTTTTGAGTGATGGTCACTCCTTGGGTTAGTAGGTGTCTTGTGTCCAAATTTGGTGTCAATTCGTCCAGTGGTTTTTGAGTTATGTCAATCCCACAAACGAACATTACATTTTTATATATATAGATACTAGCTGTCCCCTGCCATGTGTTGCTGTGGCCCAGTCTGTGTATGTGTTTTGTGTGCGTATATATTTGTGTATATATGTGTGTTTGTACATACACACACACACACATATATTGGTATATATATGTGTGTGTATGTATTTGTGTATTTGTGTGTTTATATGTGTACATGCATATTGTGTATATGTGTGTTCTTGTCTATATGCATATTTGTGTGTATGTATGTGTATATGTATATATGTATGTGTGCATGCATGCGTATATATATATATGTGTGTGTGTGTGTGTGTATATATGCATATTTGTGTGTGCACGTGTATATGTATATGTATATGTACAACTCCTTTGTTGCGCCAGCTCCACTGGCTACCAATTTGTTACTGGGCCCAATTCAAAGTGCTGGCGTTGGCCTATAAAGCCCTAAACGGTTCTGGCCCAAGTTACCTATCCAAATGCATCTCCGCCTACGAACCCACTAGGACTTTAAGATCTTCTGGGGAGGCCCTGCTCTCGATCCCGCCTGCAACTCAGGCACGGCTGGTGGGGACGAGGGACAGGGCCTTCTCAGTGGTGGCCCCTCGGCTGTGGAACGCCCTTCCCACAGACATTAGATCGGCTCTCTCATTAATGGCATTTCGGAAGAAAGTGAAAACCTGGTTATTTGAACAGGTGTTTGAATAGGCAGTGCAATGAATTATAATGAATTATAGGAAATCGGAACTACGGATGACGAGCTTGGATTATGATTTTAGTTATGAGACGCTAATGAGTTGTTTATTGATATTTATTGATGTTAATTGCTTAGTGTATTATTGTGTTAATTGTTTTTAAATGGTTTGTATGATGCTAGCATTGAATTGTTGCTGCTGTTTGTTGTTAACCGCTCTGAGTCGCCTAAGGGCTGAGAAGAGCGGTATACAAATAAAGTAAATAAATAAATAAATGTGTGTATGTATGTGTGTATATATGATTTTATTTGTGTGTGTTTGTGCATATATATACGTGTGTATGAATGTGTGCATGTGTATATGTATATATGGTGTATTTTGGGGGGGTTTAAGTCTGCTCCGCTGGGGTTTTTGTGTATGTGTGTGTTTACGGGTGATGGACACTCGTTGGACTGTTAGGTGTATTGTGTCCAAATTTGGTGTCAATTCATCCAATGGTTTTTGATTTCTGTTAATCCCACAAACGAACATTACTTTTTATTTATTGTTGCTGGGGGGGAGAGGGCTCCCGACAGATGAGCCACTTATTAAAACACTTATTAAAATCACATTATTCAGATGTTTAACTGCTGTGCTTTGCATTTAGACCATTACGGAGTGCTACCAGTTCAAGTTCAAATACACCGAGAACGGCCCATCCATGGACTTCACAAGGTATTCCTTTATTTCCCTCCTGCTTTCACTCTCCAGCTTGGCCAGACATTGCTTTGCTTCTTCTTCCAAGCATGTTTTTTGCTTCTAGGAAGTGAATGTTAACACGCCCTCGGATTTGTAAAGAAAATGTGTTTTCTTGCTGCCGAACAAATGCTCAGTTAGTTGGTCTCTGAACACATTTCCTTGGCAGACGATGATGCGAAAGGCTCAGGAAATATCGTCAAACAGCAAATATACAACTTCATTGGTCCCCTGTTTCTCTCGCACAAACATCTCCAGTTAGATTTGCTTTCCAGAGTCGGGGGTATTTAAAGGTTGTAGTCGGCACTGGGAAATGTGTATATTTTAAGCAACAGAGGGATCTCTTGTTTCAACAGAGCAAATGTTGTTTCCTGGGATATATCCCAAGAAAAACTGCTAGTACAATACACTTAGCGCCAGCTGGCACCCTTGAATAGAAGGGCTCCGCTTCTGGGATTTGTACCAGGAAGAAATACTGGATTGGCTGAAATGTTATTTGCACCGTATGGACTCTCATGTCGCAATTGGCTGGGTTGTAGATTACTTTCAGCTCTGCGTTTCCAGAAACTTTGAAACCCATCTCGCAACGGGCTCCTGAATAGGTAGCTCATCCTAACAGGTTAATAGTTCGAATCTGAGGAGAGCGGGTTGAGCTCCCTCTGTCAGCTCCAGCTCCCCATGCAGGGACATGAGAGAAGCCTCCCACAAGGATGGTAAAATTTATTTCTTTATTTATTTACAGTATTTATATTCCGCCCTTCTCACCCCGCAGGGGACACATACATGGCAAACATTCAGTGCCATAGACACACAACATAGACACACAGAGGCCACTTTTCTGGCTGCCAGGGGAGCTGTCGCTTTCATCATCCATCTGCGACACTGATTAAGTACTTCCTCATTCCCCGCATACTTTGCTGGAGTGCTTTGCTGGCCTCATAAATTAGTTAAATTAGCCTCCCCACACATAGGTGATACCTAATTTTCCTACTTGACAGATGCAACTGTCTTTTGGGTTGCAAAGGTCGACAACAAGCTACACAATTGGTCGGAAGCTCACTCCGACCCGGGCTGGCTTTGAGCTGGAGTCTTTTTCATGGCCTCATAAATTAGTTAAATTAGCCTCCCCACACATAGGTGGTACCTAATTTTCCTACTTCATAGATGCAACTGTCTTTTGGGTTGCAAAGGTCGACAACAAGCTACACAATTGGTCGGAAGCTCACTCCGACCCGGGCTGGCTTTGAACACATGACCTTTCGGTCAGAAGTGATCTTAATGCAGCTGACACTTAGCCAGCTGCGCCACAGTCCCAAAACATCTGGACTTCTCCTGGGCAACGTCCTTGCAGACGGCCAATTCTCTCACGCCAGAAACGACTTGAAGTTTCTCAAGTCGCTCCTGACATGAAAAAAATTCCTAACATATGATTGCTTTGTGTTGTCAAAGGCATTCATGGCTGGAATCACCGGGTTGCTGTGAGTTTTCTGGGCTGTCTGGTCATGTTCCAGGAGCATTCTCTCCTGACGCTTCACCCACATCTATTGCAGGCATGCTCAGAGGTTGTGAGCTCTGTTGGAAACTAGGCAAGTGGGATTTATATATGTCCAGGGTGGGACAAAATACTCTCATGTGTTACTTCCCCCAGGCAGGAAGCAGCCAGGCTTTGAAGCTGCAAGGCTATTCAATACTAATCAAGGTGGCCAATTGCAACCTTCACACTTGTCTTAAACAGTCAAGAGGAACACTTGGTAAAGCATCAAATTGGTGGGTTGCTGTGAGTTTTCCGGGCTGTCTGGTCATGTTCCAGAAGCATTCTCTCCTGACGTTACACCCACATCTATGGCAGGCATCCTCAGAGGTTGTGAAGTCTGTTGGAAACTAGGCAAGTGGGGTTGAGATATCTGTGGGTGGGAGAAAAAACTCTTGCCTGTTTGAGGCAAATGTGAATGTTGCAATTGCCAACCTTGATCAGCATTGAATAGCTTTGCAGTTTCAAAGCCTGGCTGCTTCCTGCCTGGAGGAATCCTTGTGGGGAGGTGTGAACTGGTCCTGATTTATTCCTGCCTGGAATTTCCCTGTTTTCTAGTAAAAACCCAGAGAACAATTCCAATGTCACGTGCGTGGATACTAAGAAAGCCAGCATCCTACTGATTAGAAAGATTTATGTCCTGATGCAGAATTTGGGTCCGCTGCCTGATGATATCTGCCTCACGATGAAACTCTTCTATTATGACGAAGGTATGATATCAGTTCAAATCTGTCAAATTTAAGGGTATCCTCCCTGCCCTTCATTTAAAGAGTGTGTGTATGCCTTCCTATTCAATTCACAGCCTAGGTACATACATAATAATCTCAATATATTGCCAAAATATTGAGAGTATCTACAGATTATTATTATTATTATTATTATTATTATTATTATTATTATTATTATTATTTTAGTGACACAAAAGCACAGTATGTCACAGCAAACATGATCTATATGCTGGATTTCGTATCACAAAATCACAAGTTGAACTTTTCCCAAGCTTCTAGGACTGTGTGATTTATTATTATTATTATTATTATTATTATTATTATTATTATTATTATTATTATTTTACTGGCACAAAAGCACAGTATGTCACAGCAAACGAGATCTATATGCTAGATTTCGTATAAAAAAAAATCACAAGTTGAACACTTCCCAAGCTTCTAGGAATATGATATGTATTATTTATTTATTTATTTATTTATTTTACTGATACAAAACCACAGTATGTCACAGCGAACGAGATCTATATGCTGGATTTCTTATCACAAAATCACAACTTGAACTTTTCCCAAGCTTCTAGGACTGTGTGATGTATTATTATTATTATTATTATTATTATTATTATTATTATTATTCTGGCACAAAAGCACAGCATGTCACAGAAAATGAGATCTATATGCTGACTGCATGGAGTGATCTCACATTTGCATGTTTTAGGACTGCTAGGTTGGCAGAAGCTGGGACTAAAAGCAGGAGCTCATTCCACTCCCCTGATTCGAACTGCTAACATTTCGGTCAGCAAGTTCAGCAACTCAGCAGTTTTACCTGCTGTGCCACCGGAAGCGCCAGTTCATATGTATTCGTAGAATCATAGAATCATATTTTATTTATTTATTTATTTATTTACTTTGCTTCTATACCGCTGTATCTCAAGCCCGAAGGCGACTCACGGCGGTTCACAAACAGTAAAAACAGTAGAAACAGCAGTGGTTCCATACAACATATAACAATTGACTTAACACATTATCCATAAATTACCAATAAGCAATTACAATGCACAATTATTACAAAAAACAACCGTACCCAATCTTCTCATCATCCAAGCGTAGTCCAGGTTCGTCGTCCCTTGTTCCATTCCTATGTTCCATTACCAGATTGCACTAAATTACTCAAACGCCTGCACAAACATCCAGGTCTTCACCTTTATTTGGAAGAGACTTCATGGGCCATCCAGTCCAACCCCCTGCCAGGAAGCAGGAAAATTGCATTCAAAGCACACCTGATAGATGGTCATCCAGCCTCTGTTTAAAAGCTTCCAAAGAAGTAGCCTCTACCACACTCCAGGGCAGAGAGTTCCACTGCTGAACAGCTCCCACAGTCAGGAAGTTCTTCCTATATTCAAAATAACTGTTGACAAAACAAATATTTCCCACTATGGAAAAATGGTTAACCTGTCTCCTCAGTTACTCCGGCCGACTACCAGCCTCCAGGATTCAAGGAGGGCGAGTGTCAAGAGATCGCCTTTGAGGGGGAACCTACTTTCCTAAATGTGGGTGAAGTTCCCACCCCTTTCCATAAGTTGAAGGTCAAAGTGACGACGGACAAAGAGCGAATGGAGCGAGTGGATAAAACTATCCTGAGGCAAAGCAGCTCTTTGACTTCTTCCGATGGAGGACAGGAACAGGAAAGGGATGTAAGAACCTGGACAGGGCATGTCTTGCATGGCTCGTCTTTCAAAATGCCTTACCAAAACATTACCTGTTGCTTCAAATGTTCTTGTTTGTGTACTTCATGCAGGAAGATTTTATTGGCGAAGATAGGATAAGACAGCAGAAAATGGCACGCCGGTCTCTGTGTTCTGAAGGTACAGACTATATCCAGTTTAGATTCATGTGCAGAGTGGTGCGTTCTCCTCTAGCACCAATTCTGCACATCAGTTTAATTTTACAAGTATCTACATGCATTGGCATTTAAAAAAATATTATTATTATTATTATTATTATTATTATTATTATTATTAGGGTTGCGGTGAGCTTTCCGGGCTGTCTGGCTGGAAATTCAAGTCTGGGAAATGGTAGTTCTCTCTGTGAGAAAACTCGCTCGGAAAGCGCAGGGCCTCAAGGCATTTAGGGGAGTCAGAAGTAGCAACAGCAGATAAGGAATCGAGTGAAGAGCTGAGTGATAAGGATGTCTGGCTGGAAATTCAAGTCTGGGAAATGATGGTTCTCTCTGTGAGAAAACTCCCTCAGAAAGTACAGGGCCTCAAGGGCATTTAGGGGAGTCAGAAGTAGCAACATCAGATAAGGAATCGAGTGAAGAGCTGATAAGGATGTCTGGCTGGAAATTCAAGTCTGGGAAATGATTATTCTCTCTGTGAGAAAACTCGCTCGGAAAGTGCAGGGCCTCAAGGGCATTTAGGGGAGTCAGAAGTAGCAACAGCAGATAAGGAATCGAGTGAAGAGCTGAGTGATAAGGAGGGCTCCCATGAGAAACGCATCTGTAGCTATGGAGGTCAACAAAAGCCTTCATTTATAAATCAGAGCCAAAAATAATCTGCGTCGTTAAGAGAGACCTCATGGGAAAGTTGGGAAGGAAATTCACAGGAAACTGAATGATTTCATGAGTGGGTTGTTGTAAGATTTTCGGGCTGTCTGACCATTTTCCAGAAGCATTCTCTCCTGATGTTTCGCCCACATCTATGGCAGGCATCCTCAGATCTGCAAGATTAGTAAAAATATACCGTAGTTGAGGAGGGAGGGAGGGAGGGAATAATATAATCTACACCAGTGTAAATTAGCATAATGTCTTTAATATTTGTTGAATTACTCAGGATTTATTCGTATAACACTTTGAATTTGACTTGTTGGTTTGTGTTTATAATATAATAAAATATTGTATCTATCTATCTATCTATCTGTGGAATAATGTCCAGAGTGGGAGAAAGAACTATTGTCTGATTGATATAATATATTGTATATTCATATAAAATTGATAATATTATACTGTAATACAACATAATACTAATAATAATACTAATACTAATAATAATTGTATATTATATATTACATATTACTAATAATATTGCAGTATAGTTGTTGTTGTTCATTCGTTCAGTCGTCTCCGACTCTTCGTGACCTCATGGACCAGCCCACGCCAGAGCTCCCTGTCGGCCGTCACCACCCCCAGCTCCCCTTCAAGGTCAGTCCAGTCACTTCAAGGATGCCATCCATCCATCTTGCCCTTGGTCGGCCCCTCATCCTTTTGCCTTCCACTTTCCCCAGCATAATTGTCTTCTCTAGGCTTTCCTGTCTCCTCATATGTGGCCAAAGTACTTCCACTTTGTCTCTAGTATCTTTCCCTCCAGTGAGCAGTCGGGCTTTATTTCCTGGAGGATGGACTGGTTGGATCTTCTCGCAGTCCAAGGCACTCTCAGCACTTTCCTCCAACACCACAGCTCAAAAGCATCGATCTTCCTTCGCTCAGCCTTACCCGAAGGTCCAGCTCTCACATCCGTAGGTGACTACAGGGAATACCATGGCTTTGACTAGGATGGATCTTTGTTGCCAGTCTGATGTCTCTACTCTTTACTATTTTATCGAGACTGGACATTGCTCTCCTCCCAAGAAGGAAGCGTCTTCTGATTTCCTGGCCACAGTCTGCATCTGCAGTAATCTTTGTGCCTAGAAATACAAAGTCTGTCACGGCCTCCACTTTTTCTCCCTCTATTTTCCAGTTGTCAATCATTCTTGTTGCCATAATCTTGGTTTTTTTTTGTTTAGCTGCAACCCAGCTTTTGCGCTTTCTTCTTTCACCTTGATTAGAAGGCTCCTCAGCTCCTCCTCGCTTTCGGCCATCAGAGTGGTGTCATCTGCATATCTGAGGTTGTTAATGTTTCTTCCAGCAATTTTTACCCCAGCTTTGCATTCATCAAGCCCCGCACATCGCATGATGTGTTCTGCATACAAGTTAAAAAGGTTGGGTGAGAGTCTGCAGCCTTGCCGGACGCCTTTCCCAATCTGGAACCAGTCTCCTGTTCCGTGATCAGTTCTGACTGTGGCTCCTTGGTCCTTGTACAGATTCCTCAGGAGAGAGGGAAGGGGGCTTGGTATGCCCATCCCACCAAGAACTTGCCACCATTTATTATGATCCACACAGTCAAAGGCTTTAGAGTAGTCAATGAAGCAGAAATAGATTTTTTTTGCAGTATAGTACAATATAGTAATATATAATACTAATATTGTGCTATACTAATAATTATATTGTATGTACATATAATATTGATCATAATGTTGTAATACAATATAATATTAATAATAATACAATATTTTATAATATTATAATTATTATTATTAATGTCATTTTGATAATGTTGTTGTTGTCTGTTGTATATGCTTTGATATTATTGCTGTATTATGTTGTCTGGGGTAAGCCGCTCCGAGTCCCCATTGGGGAGATGGTGGCAGGTTAGAAATAAAGTTTATTATTATTATTATTATTATTATTATTAATAATAATAATAATAATAATATAACACTATAATTATATCTTTTATATTATGTGCAACATTACTAATAATATTGCAGTATGGTGATATAGTACAAAATAGTAATATATAATACTAATATTGTGCTATGCTAATACTATCATATATTGTATGTACATATAACTTGTAAGCCACTCTGAGTCCCCTTTGGGGTGAGAAGGGCGGGATATAAATGTTATAAATATATAAATTATAAATAAGTGTGAATGATGCAATTAATCACCTTGATTAGCATTGCAAAGCCTTGCAGCTTCAAGGCCTGGCTGAATCCTGCCTGGAAGAATCATTTGCTGGGAGGTGTTAGCTGGTCCTGATTGTTTCATGTGGATTTTCATAGCCAGAAACTTTGACGAAGGGAATGTATGCAGGTTCCTTATGCAATTAAAATGGATGCAAGGACCTTGGGAACAACTTGTGTCGTTCTTAGGAACAGTCTCTGCTTCGTTGGAACAGCGGAAACTAGTTCCTTCCCAATAGATCACTCTTTCTGTCAGTGTAATTTTAAGGATGGTGCAAATATAAATACTATAAATCATTTAATGCCATTTCCTGAGCATCTGTATAATTCATTTCAATGCTGTTCACAGAAGTAAACTTAATATACGAGGAACATGAGGAAGAAAACAGAAAAAGAGACGAAACTTCGAATGTCTCCAACCATAACGCTCAGGTATAAAGCTGTTTCCATTTTGTTCAGATTTTGGTTTATTTTTCTGGATTCCAAAGTTTGTGGCTGTAGACCAGGGGTCCACAAATCCCATCATCCATTGTCCATCCTCCCCCAAATTGTATCAGGATGTAGAGTGGTTCATGGGGGCTCTGTATGCCAAGTTTGGTGTGTATTGGTCATTGAATGAGGGTCGCAGTGCTCTCAAGATGTGAGTGAAACAATGTTCTATTCTTCTATCTTTCAACTCTTTTTAGGTGGCGCATCTCATAAATAAGACATCCGAACTCGAAGTGGCCGAGAGCAAGACCCGGAGCGGGAAGCAGTTTCAGGGGAATACAGTGAGTGTCCTGTTTTTCAAAAGACGGAGGAAAAAATTCTCTTCAAAGCTTAAAATATATTTACAATACTAACTTGCTTCTTAATGCATGGACCAAATGGTTAGCTCCGTTTCTGTACTGTCTCGAGGTTTGGAGATTAATTTATGACAGACTCAGAATGAAGTTTTAATTTGTTTCTACGGTACTTTTCTGTAGCATTCCCAATTGCGCTCCATTATCCTTTGCATGTGGCTGCATGCTGAGATGGGAAAGTGGAGTTCAGCATCCCAGAATTGTATTCCCAAGCATCCTATTGATCGTGCATATTAGAGTTCATTTCCATTTCACGTTATCATGCTCATTCATACCTAGCATGTTTGGATAGTAACTAAATGTGAAGCAGTTCAAACTTTGAACTCCATGTTATGGTCCCTTCCAACTTCCAAAAATACAGTATAATATAATATACATATCATATATATATATATATATATATATATATATATATATATATAATATACATATAAGATTTATAATAGTATAAGGTAATACAATATAATACTAATACAATATTATATTACACTTAATATTACTAATAATATTACAATATTATGATTATATATTTTATATTACATGTAATATTACGATATAATGGTGTAGTACAATATAGTAATATATAATACTGATATTGTACTATGCCAATAATTTAATATATTGTGTGTATATATATATCTTGTAAGCTGTATATATTCGAGTATAAGCCGAATACCGTCACTCATTCCTAGGCCCAATAGCAGTTTCCACGATTTTATATACTGTTTAGGCTGTCCAGGTCCTGAACCGGTGCTTGGCCGCTGTGACGGTCTGGATGAGTGAGAACAAATTGAAATTGAATCCAGACAAGACAGAGGTACTCCTGGTCAGTCGCAAGGCCGAACAGGGCATAGGGTTACAGCCTGTGTTGGATGGGGTCGCACTCCCCCTGAAGATGCAGGTTCGCAGCTTGGGTGTGACCCTGGACTCATCGCTGAGCCTGGAACCCCAGGTTTCGGCGGTGACCAGGGGAGCATTTGCACAGCTAAACTTGTGCGCCAGCTGCGCCCGTACCTTGGGAAGTCTGACTTGGCCACGGTAGTCCACGCTCTGGTTACATCCCGTTTAGACTACTGCAACGCTCTCTACGTGGGGTTGCCTTTGAAGACAGCTCGGAAGCTCCAACTAGTCCAACGCTGGGCAGCCATGATTTTAACAGGAGCGGAGCGCAGGGAGCATACAACCCCCCTGTTGCGCCAACTCCACTGGCTACCGATCTGCTACCGGGCTGAATTCAAAGTGCTGGCGTTGGCCTTTAAAGCCCTAAACGGTTCCGGCCCAAGCTACCTATCTGACCGCATCTCTGCCTATGAACCCACCAGGACTTTGAGATCTTCCGGGGAGGCCCTGCTCTCGATCCCGCCTGCTTCTCAAGCACGGCTGGCGGGGACGAGAGATAGGGCCTTCTCGGTGGTGGCTCCTCGGCTGTGGAATGCCCTTCCTACGGACATTAGACTAGCACCATCTCTAATGGTATTCCGCAAAAAGGTGAAGACCTGGATGTTTGTGCAGGCGTTTGAGTAATTTAGTGCAATCTGGTAATGGAACATAGGAATGGAACAATGGACGACGAACCTGGACTACGCTTGGATGATGAGAAGATTGGGTACAGTTGTTTTTCATAATAATTGTGCATTGTAATTGCTTATTGGTAATTTATGGATAATGTGTTAAGTCAATTGTTATATGTTGTATGAACCACTGCTGTTTCTACTGTTTTTACTGTTTGTGAACCGCTGTGAGTCGCCTTCGGGCTTGAGATACAGCGGTATATAAGCAAAGTAAATAAATAAATAAATAAATAAATAAATATACGGTATATTCTCGAGTATAAGCCAACCCACTAAACTTCCCACTTCCAAGCTGTGGAAATAAATGTATAATACCGTCACTCATTCCTAGGCCCAAAGGCGGTTTCCATGATTTTATGTACCGTATATATTCGAGTATAAGTCAAATACCGTCACTCATTCCTAGGCCCAAAGGCGGTTTCCACGATTTTATGTACCGTATATACTTGAGTTTAAGCCAACCCACTAAACACAAGGAGTGACCATCACTCAAAAAATTATGATTTTGTCATTTGGGAGTTGTAGTTGCTGGGATTTATAGTTCCCCTACAATCAAATTGCATTCTGAACTCCACCAATGGTGGAATTGAACCAAACTTGGCACACAGGACTCCCATGACCAACAGAAAACCCTGGAAGGGTTTGGTGGGCATTGGGAAGGAAGAAAGGAAGGAGGGAAGGAGAGAAGGAAGGAAGGAAAGAAAGAGGTACCAAAGGAAGGAACAAGAGAAAGTAGAAAGGAAAGAAAAGGGGAGGGAAAGGCAGGAAAGAAGTAAAGAAGGAAGAAGAAAAGGAAATAAAAAGTGAAAGAAGGAAGGAAACAGGGAGGGAAGAAAAGAGACAAAGGAAGAAGTAGAGGAAGGGGGGGGGGCAATGAAGGAAAGAGAGAAGGAAGGATGAAACCAAAGAGTGGAAGAAGGAATGAAAGAAAGAAAGAGGCAGAGAAGGCAGAAAGAAGGGGAAGGGGAAGAAAAAGGGGGAAGGAATAGGTAGGTACCTCTCTTTCATAATAGTGCAGATATCTACCTCTACTTTGAAAAGTCTTACTATAGGCTACAGCAGTGGTTCTCAACCTTCCTAATGCCACGACCCCTTAATACAGTTCTTCGTGTTGTGGTGACCCCCAACCATAACCCTAACATTATGAATCGCCATGTAAATAATGATCTGCAGGATGTATTTTCATTCACTGGAGCAAATTTGGCACAAATACCTGGTGTGCTCAAATTTGAATACTGGTGGGATTGGCGGGGAAATTGCTTCTGTCATTTGGGAGTTGTAGTTGCTGGGATTTATAGTTAACATGTAAACAAAGAGCATTCCGAACCCCACCCACAATGGAATTGAACCAAAGTTGGCACAGAGAACTCCCATGATCAACAGAAAGTACTGGAAGGGTTTGGTGGGCATTGACCTTGAGTTTGGGAGTTGTAGTTCGCCTACATCCAGAGAGCACTGTGGGCTCAAACAATGATGGATCTGGACCAAACTTGGCATGGATACTCAATATGCCCAAATCTGAACACTGATGGGGTTTGGGGAAAATAGACTGACATTTGGGAGTTGTAGATACTGGGATTTATAGTTTACCTACAATCAAGGAGTGTTCTGAATCCCACCAATGATAGAATTGGGCCAAACTTCCCACACAGAACCCCCATGACCAACAGAAAATACTGTGTTTTCCGATGGTCTTTGGTGACCCCTCTGACACTCCTTCGTGACCCCCTCAGGGGTCCCGACCCTCAGGTTGAGAAACACTGGGCTACAGCAACGTGTGGCAGGGCACAGCTAGTATACCATATATACTTGAGTATAAGCCGACCCACTATACTTCCCCTCTTCCAAGCAGGGGAAATAAATGTATAATAGCGTCACTCATTCCTAGGCCCAAAGGTGGTTTCTACCTTTCCATTTCCCAGTCCTGGCTCTTTGTGCAAACTCGGATGCACCTTGCGTTACCGGCAAACAAATCTGCTTCCCCTCCGAGCCTGGTGGGGAAGATTCTGCTGGGCTCAGCAGCCCAGGACATGTCCTTCAAGAACGTACCGTGGTGGAAGTAAATCATACCTTGTCAGGACCAAGCCCAGGCTTGCCCTGACTGTCGCCACTCTGAGAGAGTCCTTCATTAATTTTTTAACGCCAGTTGAGGAAGACTAACAGCCTGCGGATGCAGAGCGAGCGCCTTAATAGCTCTCTGCAGGACTCTCTCCCAGGGCTAACGGTTCCTCTGTCTCTTGTCAAGGTGGGTGTCGAAAGCAGCAGGAAGACGCCGCCAGCAGCAAAGGCCAAGAAGAGGGCCAGCACCGAGTCAGGCAAACCAGTAAGTCACTGGCCCGATCAGGAAAAAATAGCTCACGCCAGCATCCTTGGGATAGGTCTCGCTTGCCTTTCAATCCAGTTTTTCTGTCCAAAATAAAGGAATTGTGGGAGTTGAAGTCCAAAACAACTTCTGTCCCAACTGTGGTAAAACCATTGAAATTATTCAATCACACTGGTTTCAAATGGGCCAAACATGAATTTGGTCTCAAGGAGAAAAATCAGATATAATTGAGAAATATTATTATTATTATTATTAACTTTATTTGTACCCCGCTAGCATCTCCCGCAGGACTCGATGCGGCTTACACAGGCCGGAGCCTCAAAACACAATACAATAAAACATAACACAACAATAAACAAAGCAAATCAAAACAATTAAGCAAAATAACAACAATAACTACATCAAGACACAATTAAAACTGGTTCGGCCGGCGCAATGGGGTACAGGGGTTAAAATGCTGAAATGGCAGGAGGAACATGGATTAAAAGGTGCGGTGTGCAGTAACATCGGTTGTGCTAAAGTGCTTCTAGGACTTGGGATGGGGGATTCCTAATCTGAGAAGGCACATCGGAACAGCCAGGTTTTTAGGTTCCTTCTGAAAACTGCTAAAGTAGGGGCCTGTCGGAGATCTTTTGGAAGGGCATTCCAAAGTCGGGGGGCCGCCACAGAGAAGGCCCTGTCCCGTGTCCCCACCAAGCGCGCTTGCGACGTGGGTGGGATCACGAGCAGGGCCTCCCCAGATGATCGGAGTGAGCGTGTGGGTTCGTAGATGGAGATGCGGTCACGCAGGTAGGGTGGTCCCAAACCGTTCATATATGGACATCTATAGGATGTAAGCTGGACATCTATAGGACGTAAGTTGGTTGCAATGCCATAGCTGTGCTTAACTTTATCTCAGGCCCCATTTGCATTGCCATATAATGCAGTAAATTGCATTATTTTATATGGCAGTGCCTTGGTATTAAGCTATTATTAACTTCTGATTTTCCCCTGATTGTATATCAATCGTCTTTGCCTGAAATTATTAATTGAAAATTCATTAACAAGCCCAGCATGGGTTCATAATAAAACCCACATTTCTATTTTCTTACTAACTATTTAATGTTGGTGAACTAAAGCAACATATTCTAGTTTTCTTCAGGTTCAATTTAAATCAGTTGAACTTGCCTATGTCAATCTTATTTTATTATTTTATTTTATTTTAGGTTATTTTTTTAATTTTTATTTTAAATTGTATTATTTTATATTTTTTATTTTAAATTGCTATTATTTTATTAATATTTTAAATTATATTATTTTATATTTTTATTTTAAATGTTATTGTTTTATGTTTTTTATTTAATAATTTCTTATCTTATTTTTTATTTCAAAACATATTGTTATTTTTATTTTAAATTATATTATTTTATATTTTTATTTTAAATTGTTATTATTTTAAGTTATTAATATTTTAAATGATATTATTTTATATTTTTATTTTAAATGATATTATTTTATATTTTTATTTTAAAAATAAATTTTTTATTTTATTGTTTTATGTTATTTTTATTTAATAATTGCTTATTTTCTTATTTTTTATTTTAAAACATTATTTTATGGGTTGTTGTAGGTTTTTTTGGGCTATATGGCCATGTTCTAGAGGCATTCTCTCCTGACGTTTCGCCTGCATCCATGGCAAGCATCCTCAGAGGTAGTGAGGTCTATTGGAACTAGGGAAAAGGGTTTATATATCTGTGAAATGACCAGGGTGGGACAAAGGACTCTTGTCTGCTGGAGCTAGGTGTGAATGTTTCAACTGACCACCTTGATTAGCATGTGATGGCTTGGCAGTGCATGGAGGAAACTTTTGTTGAGAGGTGATTAGATGTCCTTGTTTGTTTCCTTTCTTTTAGAGTTTTTTAATACTGCTGGGGAATCAGACAGGGCTCTATTTTTTCCATAATTCTATGCAAAATAAGTCTCTCCAGAACTTTGTAGAGGTGCCACAACAGGGAGATTGGTCTGTAGCTTTTTGGATCATGACGGTCTTTGCCTGGCTTCAAGATGGCAACGACTCTTGCTTTCCTCCAGATTTTGGGGATCTGACAGGATGCAGTGCAGTTGTTCATCAGCTCCAGCAGCCAGCGCCTTGCTTTTGGCCCAAAGTTCTTGATTCGTTCCATCCGTAGATCGTCCAATAATGTATATGTTTATTTTACTGTGTATGTATGTTCACATGGCATCAATATATGCCTATATATGTAAGCCACCTTGAGTCCCCTACGAGGGATCAAATGCAACATTCAGCCTTGCCTCCAACAGAAATGAGTTCTTTCTCCCACCCTGGACATTATCCCACAGCTTGCATAGTTTCCAACAGACCTCACAACCTCTGGGGATGCCTGCCATAGATGTGGGCGAAATGTCAGGAGAGAATGCTTCTGGAACGTGGCCAGACAGCCCGAAAAACTCACAGCAGTGATTCCGGCCATGAAAGCGTTTCGACAACACAAGGGTTCTATTTGTTTTCGAAATAAGGATGTTATTATTTATTTAAAGCACTTCAATGCTGCTCGTGTATCGATACATTTTCCCAAAGCACTTTAGAAGCACAGAAAGCCGACCTTTAATTTGAGTTTGCAAATAATTAAGCTGTATTGAAAAATATATATATACAAAATTTTAAAACGGTGGGAGAGGGAAGAATAGCAATTGAACATTTGTATTTGTTTGTCATGTGTAGCATTCTATACTATACCAAGCTTGTTACTTTTTCTTTTTTTCCAGGTCTATCATATTGACTTCTCTTCGAGTCAAGAATCCGGGTGCAAACGGCGAAAAATTAGTGAACCGAGGAAAAAAATTTAGATATAAGTTTCCTGATGTTTCGTTTTCCTTCCCTTCCTGCAGCTTGTTTCACAGGAAGAATATATTTAAATAAGTTAATAATATTGAATGTTCTTCAATGCTTTACAGTGAAAAATACAAGATTTTAATTCAGATAGACTTGATAAAATTCAGTACATGTTTTGCCTTGTTGGAAAAAGAGAAGCTGTAAATATTTTAGTTTGGAACTAAGCATGGCAAAAATAAAATAACAAAATAACAATAAAATAAAATATTTCAGTATGGAACTAAGCATGACAAAAAAGAAAATAAAAACATAACAAAATAACATAATAAAATAAAATATTTTAGTTTGGAACTAAGCATGACAAAATTAAAATAAAACATCATAATATAATATAATATAATATGAATACCATAAAACAATAAAATTTAAAATAACAACAGAAATAACATAAAATAATAAAAGTTTAAAATAAATTTAAATTTATTTTAAACTTTTATTATTTTATGTTATTTTTATTTTATGCTATTTTTATTTTTTATTTTAAATAATAAAATTTAAAATAACAAAAGAAATAACAAAATAATAAAAGTTTAAAATATATTTAAATTTATTTTAAACTTTTATTATTTTATGGTATTTTTATTTTTATTTTAAATAATAAAATGTAAAATAAATGTGTTATTTTTTAAATAATAAAATTTAAAATAAATTTATGTTATTTTTATTTTGTTATTTTTATTTTAAATAATAAAATTAAAAATAGAAATAAAATAAAATAATACGTTTTAAAATAAAAAATAGGAAATTATAAAATTAAAATAATATAAAACAATAACATTTAAAATAAAAATATAAAATAATATCATTTAAAATAAAAATATAAAAATAACATAAAAATTAGCATAGCAAAAATAAAACAAAAACATAACAAAATTACATAATAAAATATATTTGTTTGAAACTAAGCATGACAAAATTAAAATAAAACCATCGTAACATAACATAACATAACATAATATAATATGAATATCATAAAATAATAAAAGTTTAAAATAAATATAAAAGATAACCTAAAATAATAAAATTAAAATAAAAAATATGTTTTAAATTAAAAAATTAAGAAAATAAGAAATTATTAAATAAAAATAACATAAAACAATGACATTTAAAATGAAAATATAAAATAATATTTAGAATAAAAATATAAAATAGTATTTAAAATATTAATAACATAAAATAATAACATTTAAATAAAAATATAAAATAATATCATTTAAAATTTAAAAAATAACATAACAAAATAAAATAATAAAATAAGATTTACATAGGCAAGTTCAACTGATTTAAACTGGACCTGAAGAAAACGAAAACAAATTGCTTTAGATCATTAACATTAAATATCTAGTAAGAAAATAGCAATTTTGGGTTTATTATGAACCCATGAACGCTGGGCTCATTAATGAACTTTCAATTAATTATTTCAGGCAAAGACTATTGATTAGAAAATAGTTTAATACCACTGACATATCAAAATAATACAATTTACTCCATAATATGGCAATGTAAATAAGGCCTTGGTATTAAGCTATTTTCTAATTTTTTTACCATATTCTATATCGATAGATGACGTTAAGCACAGCTATGGTATTACAACCAACTTATGTCCTATATATGTCCATATTTCTCAATTATATCTGATTTTTCTCCTTAATTATTGGGTCTTTACTAGAGATGTTTACCCAAAATTTAAGAAAACCCGTTCCTAATTTTTAATGCCGTAACATTCTTGAAACATAATGGGAGTGTTATTTTTGACTCAGAAAAAAGGTATTGATTTTGGATGATGCTTTAGAGGCGCCTGCCCGGGCTTTCTGTTTCAGATCCTCCGGTTTTACGACCCACAATAAAATATTTACAGTTTGAAGACGTTGTTTCTTTTGAGCATGTTTATTCTAAAGATCGATGGCTGTTTCATCGCTGGGTAATTTTCGGGGCACTCCCCAGCATTGGAATAATTCAAAATATTACGAGGAGTGAAAGCAACGGCCCATTGGTTGCCACAAAAGCCAGATCTGGTCCCGCCATTGGCTCGTTGGAAATGATGTCAAGTAAGAGAAAGAAGTAATCATTTCCCTGCTAATGTCCCAAAAATGAAAACCTGGATATGTGTAGCCAAATAATATCATAATGTTGAAGTCGAAAATGACCCCCCCCCCCCCCATAAAAGATAGTAACTTATAGTTTTGCTAAGGACACCAGACTGGATAATAAGAGTTGGCCCCCCAGAGGAAGTGGTCATTTGGCAATTATGATCATATCTCAATAGGATGGAGGGGGTCTTCGAAAAGCCGCACCTTGTCCTAATCTGTCACCCATTCAACTTTTCAGAAAACAGGTGAAAACCTGGCTATGGGGTTTCGACGAGTGAATCAATATTTCTGTGATCGGATAGATGACGATGAATGATGGACAACGAATTCACTATGACGACTGACCATTGTTATTATGTGATTGCATTTTGCTATTATAACGTTTTAATTGAATATGCCATATGATGTTTTTAATTATTGTTTTGTGATTTTATTGTTGGAAACCGGCCCGAGTCCCCCAATAGAGGGGAGAAGACCGGTATACAAAATTGCTAAATAAATAATAAATAATTCTTTCACTAAAGACTTCAGCCCAAGTTCCCCATTGTTCCCATATGTACGCACTGGAAAAATCCGGATCTTGGCAGGATTGTCAAACATCAATGTTTATTGCAGCCACTCAATGACAATAGGAATGGCTGGCTCACAGGCCCCAGGATTCGCTGGCCACTTGGATATTTCCTATCTCCATAATCCTCTCAAGAATCCATTGTTTCTCTCTCGTCCCGCCTCCCTCTCTCCTGATTCGTCAGGACGCCGAGACGGCAGAAGCCCAGTGATTGGCCCAGGCGCTCAGGAGGTGGCCAAGCATCCTCCCAGCTGTAGAGCATCAGCCAATCACCATCGAGCCGGCAGAGGGGTGGGGAGCAGGAAATTCAAACTCCGGATGATCTCACCCAGCGGCTTCATGTAGATGTTAAACAATATGGGGGACAATACTGAGCCCTGAGGAACCTCACAAGACAATGGTAGGGGGGCTGAACAGGTGTCTCCCAGTAACACCTTCTGGGTACGACCCTCCAGGAAAGACTGGAGCCACTGCAGAACGGGACCCCCAAGACCCATCCCCGCGAGGCGCCCCAGAAGAATAGTGTGGTCTACGGTATCGAAGGCCGCTGAGAGGTCCGGAGAACCAACAGGGACACACTCCCCCTGTCCAGCTCTCTGCGGAGATCATCCACTAAGGCGACCACGGCTGTCTCAGTTCCATATCTACTTTGAACTGTATTATTTGAGACTGCACTCTAAGCCTCCAAAGAAGGAGCCTCCACCACACGCCGGGGCAGAGAGTTCCACTGCTGAACGGCTCTCACAGTCAGGAAGTTCTTTTTATGTTCAGGTGGAATCTCCTTTCATAGAATCCTAGGCTTGGAAAAGACCTGTTGGGCCATCATCCAGTCCAACCCCATTCTGCCAAGAAGCAGGGAAATCACCTTCAAACCACCGCGACAGATGGCCATCCAGTCTCTGTTTCAAAGCCTCCAAAGAAGGAACTTCCATCACACTCAGGGGCAGAGAGTTCCACTGCTGAACGGCTCTCACAGTCAAGAAGTTCTTCCTCATGTTCAGGTGGAATCTCCTTTCATAGAATCCTAGAATTGGAATAGACCTCGTGGGCCATCATCCATTCCAACCCCATTCTGCTAAGAAGCAGGGAAATCGCATTCAAAGCACCCCCGACAGATGGCCATCCAGCCTCTGCTTAATACCCTCCAAAGAAGGAGCTTCCATCACACTCAGGGGCAGAGAGTTCCACTGCTGAACAGCTCTCCCAGTCAGGAGAAAGAACTCTTGTCTGTTGGAGGCAAGTGTGAATGTTGCCATTGGTCACCTTGATTAGCATTGAATGGCCATGCAGCTTCAAAGCCTGGCTGCTTCCTGCCTGGGGGAATCCTTTGTTGGGAGGTGTGTGGGAGAAAGAACTCTTGTCTGTTGGAGGCAAATGTGAATGTTGCCATTGGTACCTTGATTAGCACTGAATGTTCTTGCAACTTCAAAGCCTGGCTTCTTCCTGCCTGGGAGGGGAGATCCTTGGTTGGAACGTGCTAGCTGGTCATGATTATTTTCTGTCTGGAGTTCCCCAGTTTTCTGAGTGATGTTTGTTATTTACTGTCCTGTTTATTTGCTGTCCTGTTTATTTATTATCCCTCCATGGTTGGGAGGTGTTAGTTGGCCCTGATTATTTCTTGTCTGGAATTCCCAGTTCTTTGCTTACTGTCCTGATTAATATTACTGTCCTACGTAAGTGAGGTTTATATATCTGTGGAATGACGTCCAGAGTGGGAGAAAGAACTCTTGTCTGTTGGAGGCAAGCGTGAATGTTCCAGTTGGCCACCTTGATTAGCATTGAATGGCCTTGCAGCTTCAAAGCCTGGCTGCTTCCTGCCAGGGGGAATCCTTTGTTGGGAGGTGGTTGGGAGAAAGAACTCTTGTCTGTTGGAGGCAAGTGTGAATGTTGCAGTTGGCCAGCTTGATTAGCATTGAATGGTCTTGCAGCTTCAAAGCCTGGCTGCTCCCTGCCTTGGGGAATCCTTTGTTGGGAGATGGGTGGGAGAAAGGACTCTTGTCTGTTCAAAGAAACCTTCTTTCTTCCTGGCTTGAGCAACAAAATGGAGTCGTGGGAGTCCTTTTAGTCACACAAAAAATGGCCTTCCCTCCCTTGGCCTGGCTGCCGGCCTTTGGGGTCCCCCCGCCTTCCTCGTGCAAAGGGCCGAAGCACGAGGATGGTGAGCGGCCTTTTCCGTGTCTGGCTTCCCTCAGGCCTCAGCGTGGCCAGCCATTTTGGACTAGGCCTCAGCCCAGATTGGAGAGCCACGGCTGAGGCGGGAAAAGGCCTGAGGCTGACAGGAATGGTGGGAGTTGGAGTCCAAAGTTAGGCCATACTCGAGGCAATCCATATGATATCCTTGGAACTGGATTGTGGGAGTCTACACTGCCGTATCATCCAGTTCTAGGCAGATCATCTAGCAGTGTAGAAGGGGCCTTTGTGGAGATACGCGTGGATTTCTTGCACACACCCCATTGTTTTGGATTTATTTATATTTTTATCGATAATTTACATGATTTAAATGGTATTATGACATTATTTTGTTAACCTAATGTATTTATTATATTATTTATATTTTTATTGATTATTTACATTATATAAATTGAATCATGACATTATTTTTATTTTTATTAACCTAATGTATTTATTATATTATTTATATTTTTATTGATTATTTACATGATTTATAATATTTTATTTATACTTTACAGTTTATTATATTATTTTAATTATAATGGAAGATATTTATATTTTATTTATAATTTGTAGTTTATTTTATTTTATTTTTAATTATAATGGAAGATATTTATAATATTTTATTTATACTTTACAGTTTATTGTATTATTTATATACAGTTTATTATATTATTTTAGTTATAATTTAAGATTTATATTTTATTTATAGTTTATAGTTTATTTTATATTATTGTAATGTAAGATATTTATAATATTGTTTATAGTTTAGTTTATATTTTTAATAATGCAATAAATGTATAATTTTATATATTTTATTCCAATTATAGTTTATAATTTATTTTATAAATATATTATTGTTTTATGTTTTATTTCATTTATCATTTATTTCATTTTTTAATTTAAATTTTATTTCATGTATAGTCTTATTATTTACAGCATACATTTGATTTCATTGATAGTTTATTTTATATTATTTGTATTTTGTAATATTTTATAGTTTATTTTATATTATTTGTAATTTGTAATATTTTATATTATTCGTAACAATGCATATTATTTTTTGTTTTATTTCATTTATCATTGATTTCATTTTTTATATTTAAATTTGATTTCATTTATAGTCTTATTATTTATAGCATATATTTTATTTCATTTATAGTTTGTATTTTTAATAATGTAAGAAATTTATATTTGTATATATTTTATTTCATTTATAGTTTAATTTATTTTATATTATTTATTTCATTGATAGTTTAGTTTATATTACTTTAATTACAATATAGTTAGTATTTTTTTAATAATGTAAGAAATTTATATTTTTACATATTTCATTTCATTTATAGTTTAATTTATTTTATATTTATTTTTTATATTAAATATATTTTATATTTAATTTATTTTACATTTATATATATAGTTTTATATTATTTTATATATTGATTTCATTGATAGTTTACTTTATATTACTTTAATTACAATATAGTTTGTATTTTTTTTAATAATGGAAGAAATTTATATTTTTATATATTTTATTTCATTTATTTCATTAATTTTATATTATTTCTTTCATTGATAGTTTAGCTTATATTATTTTAATTATATTATTTCATTTATTTCATTAATTTTATATTATTTATTTCATTGATAGTTTAGTTTATATTATTTTAATTATATTATTTCATTTATAGAATTTATTTTATATTATTTATTTCATTGATAGTTTAGTTTATATTATTTTAATTATATTATTTCATTTATTTCATTAATTTTATATTATTTCTTTCATTGATAGTTTAGTTTATATTACTTTAATTATATTATTTCATTTATTTCATTAATTTTATATTATTTATTTCATTGATATTTTACTTTATATTATTTTAATTATATTATTTCATTTATTTCATTAATTTTATATTATTTATTTCATTGATAGTTTAGTTTATATTATTTTAATTATATTATTTCATTTATAGAATTTATTTTATATTATTTATTTCATTGATAGTTTAGTTTATATTATTTTAATTATATTATTTCATTTATTTCATTAATTTTATATTATTTATTTCATTGATAGTTTAGCTTATATTACTTTAATTATATTATTTCATTTATTTCATTAATTTTATATATTTTATTTCATTTATAGTTTAATTTATTTTATATTTATTTTTTATATTAAATATATTTTATATTTAATTTATTTTATATTTATATATATAGTTTTATATTATTTTATATATTTATTTCATTGACAGTTTACTTTATATTACTTTAATTACAATATAGTTTGTATTTTTTTTAATAATGGAAGAAATTTATATTTTTATATATTTTATTTCATTTATTTCATTAATTTTATATTATTTATTTCATTGATAGTTTAGTTTATATTATTTTAATTATATTATTTCATTTATTTCATTAATTTTATATTATTTATTTCATTGATATTTTACTTTATATTACTTTAATTATAATATAGTTTATATTTTTTAATAATGGAAGAAATTTATATTTTTATAAATTTCATTTCATTTATAGAATTTATTTTATATTATTTATTTCATTGTTTAGTTTATATTATTTTAACTATAATTTATGTAATTTATGGTTAAGATTGTCTTTCCTATTGATTTATATTTTATGTTTATTTAGAATATTGCATATTATTTGCATTTTAGATTTTGCTGAATGTGATATGTTAATCACCCCTTCCTCCCTATTTGTTCCCCAGCCAAGGAAAGAGAAGCCTTCTCTGGCTCCCCATTGGTCCCCTGGGCTGTCAACTTGACAAGCCCCTCCCCTCCTTTGTAATGGCCTGAATGTCTCTCCCTTTTGCAAGGTTGCCTGTTTCAACACAAAGGGGAGGGAGGAGAGGGAGGAGGGCCCGCCTCCCCGAGGAGCTGATTGGCCCTCTCCCTCCAGGCGGCCCTTCTCATTGGCCCTTTGTGATCCAGACCAGGGTAGGTTTCCCTGAGACACCAGGAAGCTGATGTGTGAGCTCTCTCTTTTCATTTTTTCCTAGATGAACCAGGAAGTAAAGTTTCTTCTGGTTGGGTCTCTCCAGCTTCCTTGGTAAGAGAGAAGCCAAGCAGGGACTTGAGCAGCAGAGGGAACCCCAGGTGAGTCTGGCAAAATTTGGGATTTGGGGAGCTGGGATCATGGCCTGGGAGTTAGGAAATAGAGTTCATTTCCAAGAAAGGGCATCTTGCTCTTGTTGCTCCTCTTCCTGCTTATTTTCCTGATCCAGGAATGCAGAATAATCTGGATTAAAAGGGTCAGGAAATGGGTTTTGTTTCACACCAAGGTGTTGGTTTAATTGGCCAGGGTGAGTTTGTTTGGTAAAGAAATAATAATAATAATAATAATAATAATAATGTATTATTATTATTATTATTATTATTCCCAAGTATTAATATAATATAATATAATATATATAATATAATAATATAATTATATTATATTTATTTATTTATTTATTTACTGCGTTTATATACTGCAATTCTCAGCCCAAGGGCGACTCATTGCGGTGAACAACATAGAAAACAAGTGCAAATTACAAACATAGTGTAAAAATAATCCACAATTCCTCATTGTCAGAAAAACATCTCATTAAAACAAAACAAAACTAACCCTAACCCTAACCCTATTATATTATAATATATTAATACTTGGAAATAATACTAATACATTATATATATATATATATATATATATATATATAATAATAATACATAATAATAATATATATAATATGTTCAAGAAGCTCTACTGGCTGCCATTTATTTTCCGAGCCCAATTCAAGGTGCAGGTGCTTACCTACAAAGCCCTAAACGGTTTGGGACCACCCTACCTGCGTGACCACATTTCCATCTACGAACCCACACGTTCACTTCGGTCATCTGGAGAGGCCCTGCTCGTGATCCCACCGGCGTCACAAGCGCGCTTGGTGGCGACTCGGGACAAGGCCTTTTCCGTGGTGGCCCCCCGACTCTGGAACACCCTCCCCAAAGACCTTAGACAGGCCCCTACATTGAAGAACTTGAAGACCTGGCTTTTCCGATGCGCCTTCCCAGATTAGGAAATCTCCACTACCAAGTCCCATAAGCACTTTATCAGAACCAATGATTGCTGCACATCGCACATCGCACTTGCCCTGGAAGCCCTATATACACCTCCTGTCACATCAGCACTTTTAATCTTGTACCCATTGCTCTGGCCTGGCCCAGTTTTATTGTGTTTAGTGTATTGTGCCTGTTGTTTATTTTGCTTTATTCTGTTTTTAATTGTTTGATTTGCTTAGATTGTATTGTTGTGTTGTGTGTTGAGGCCTCGGCCTGTGTAAGCCGCATCGAATCCTTCGGGAGATGCTAGCGGGGTACAAATAAAGTTTAATAATAATAATAATAATAATACATAATAATAATATATATAATATAATAATACATAATAATATATATAATATAATAATACATAATATATATATATTATTATTATTATTATTATTATTATTATTTGCTTTACTTCTATACCGCCTTTCTCAGCCGGAATGGCAACTCAAAGCGGTTTACATAGTAGGTTATCATAACAATATCAAAGAAGACAATTAAAAACACATTATACAAGATATACAGATCAAAAACAATCATTATCATAAGCCTCAGCAGCAAATCAGAATCAGAATCCGTAATCATAATCCTATACCAAGTCCTATGTTCGGTTGTACACTCTTCATGAATTCATTGCACTATTTAGCCAAACGCTTGTTCGTAAAGCCAAGTCTTAACCTTCCTCCGGAATAATATAATAATAATACATAATAATAATATATATATAATATAATAATATATAATATAATAATATAATAGGAGCCCCCGGTGGCGCAGTGGGTTAAAGCGCTGAGCTGCTGAGCTTGTTGATCGAAAGGTCGCAGGTTCGATTCTGGGGAGCGGCGTGAGCTTCCGCTGTCAACCCTAGCTTCTGCCAACCTAGCAATTCGAAAACATGCAAATGTGAGTAGATCAATAGGTACCGCTCCGGCGGGAAGGTAACGGCGCTCCATGCAGTCATGCCGGCCACATGACCTAGGAGGTGTCTACGGACAACGCCGGCTCTTCGGCTTAGAAATGGAGATGAGCACCACACCCCAGAGTCAGACATGACTGGACTTAATGTCAGGGGACTACCTTTACCTTTTTAAATAATATAATATAATAATTATAATATATATTATAATATATTATATTATAATCAAAGGCAAGATGGATGGCTGGCATCCTTGAAGTGATTGGACTGTCCTTGAAGGAGCTGGGGGTGGTGACGGCCAACAGGGAGCTCTGGCATGGGCTGGTCCATGAGGTCACGAAGAGTCGGAGACGACTGAACGAATGAACAACAACAATATAATATATTATCAGTATATAATATAAAATAATATATTATTATTATTCCCAAGTATTAATATAATATATTACTAATATATAATATAAAATAATTATATTATGCTACAAGAGAGGAGATTCCATCTGAACATGAGGAAGAACTTCCTGACTGTGAGAGCCGTTCAGCAGTGGAACTCTCTGCCCCGCAGTGTGGTGAAGGCTCCTTCTTTGGAAGCTTTTAAACAGAGGCTGAATGGCCATCTGTCAGGGGTGATTTAAATGCAATATTCCTGCTTCTTGGCAGGCGGTTGGACTGGATGGCCCAGGAGGTCTCTTCTGACTCTTTGATTCTACGATTATTATTCCCAAGTATTAATATAATATCTTATCAATATATAATATAAAGTAATGTATTATTATTATTCCCAAGTATTAATATAATATATTATGAATATATAGTATAAAATAATGTATTATTATTATTCCCAGGTATTAATATAATATATTATCAACAACAAGTGTAGTAAGATCAAGTGTAGTATATTATCAATATATAATATAAAATAATATATTATTATTCCCAAGTATTAATATAATATATTATCAATATATAACATAAAATAATATATTATTATTATTCCCCCCCCCCCCAGTGGGTTAAAAGGCTGAGGTTGTTGACCGAAAGGTCGCAGGTTCGATTCTGGGGAGCGGCGTGAGCTTCTGCTGTCAGCCCCAGCTTCTGCCAACCTAGCAGTTTGAAAACATGCAAATATGAGTAGATTAATAGGTACCGCTCCAATGGGAAGGTAACAGCGCTCCGTGCAGTCATGCTGGCCACATAACCTTGGAAGTGTCTACGGACAACACCGGCTCTTGGGCTTAGAAATGGAGATGAGCACCAACCCCTAGAGTCAGACACAACTGGACTTAATGTCAGGGGAATACCTTTACCTTTTATAATTATAACAGTATTTATATTTGCATTTTAAATGTACTAAATGTACCAAGTTCGTATGAAACTGTGACTTTTATTTCCTGTGCTGGTCTATGACCAAAATAAATGATTTGATTTGATATAATAATATATAATAATAAAGTAAAATACATATAATGTAATTATAACAACAAATATTTATATCTATATTTATATTCCGCCCTTCTCACCCCGAAGAGGACTCAGAGCCACTTACAAGATATATATACATACAATATATTATATTATTAGGTAAAGGTTTTCCCCTGACATGTAGTCCAGTCGTGTCCAACTCTGGGATTGGTGCTCATCTCCATTTCTAAGCCGAAGAGCCAGCATTGTCCATAGACACCTCAAAGGTCATGTGGCCGGCATGACTGCATGGAGCATCCTTACCTTCCCACCGGAGCAGTACCTATTGCTCTACTCACATTTGCATGTTTTTGAACTGCTATGTTGGCAGAAGCTGGGGCTGACAGCGGAAGCTCATCTCGCTCCCTTGATTTTAACCTGCAACCTTTCGGTCAACAAGCTCAACAGCTCAGCGCTTTAACCCTCTGCGCTACCGGGGATTCCATATATATATATATATATATATATATATATATATATGCCACCCTTCTCACCCCGGAGGGAACTCAGAGCGGCTTATAAGATATATATATACACACATACATACAATACATTATATTATTAGCATAGTACAATATCAGTATTATATATTATTATATTGTACCATACCATTATATTGTAATATTATTAGTAATATTACATGTAATATTATATATCTGTATTATGTATGTATGTATGTTTGTGTGTGGAGCCCCCACTGGCGCAGTGGGCTAAACTGCTGAGCTGCTGAACTTGCTGATCGAAAGGTGGCAGGTTCGAATCCGGGAATTTAGATCCAAGGCTTGTGGATATGACGCCTGACTTGAAAATGTCCTTTCATGCTGGCCACATGACCTTGGAGGTGTCTACGGACAATGCCGGCTCAATAGATGACAGCATAAGAACTTTCAAAATAGTATAACATACGTCAAAATCAAGAAAGTGAAGGTATTTTGAAGAGCGGCGGAAAAGGCCTATAAAATGCAAGCACATTTAGTAATATTTTGGTTTTAAAAGAGGAATCTTTGCAAACTGATGGAGAAAACGTTAGCCACGTTTGCAAGGGGTTGTCCTCCTTATTTCTGCATCGAAAGTCCCCAGTGTTAGGTGTACAACCAAGGGCTTGTGAAAGATGCTGGAGCAAAATAACTGAAAACACAACAATAGACAAGTTGTGAATGTCGGTGGGAGAAAGCAAAGAGAGGATCTTTTCTTACAGGAAGTGGTTCGGGGATGTTTTCCGCCCAGTTCCTGCCACGCTGAATTTTTGCCGGCTCCCTTGGAAAAGTAAACAACCCTGACACGTGAAGGCCTGGATTTATCCCTGTCTCCTTAGGACTATTATTGATTGACAGTATTTATATTCCTCTATAAGATCATTTTTAAAAGATAAATGCTGTCAATAAATAAATAATATAATATAATAACCAATTAAATAAATAATATAATAACAAGGCCTCTATCGAACAAGTTAGGGACAGGTTCTCTAAGTTTGGTCTTATGCATGCAAGTTGGAACAGGTTTTGTTAAGTTGTGTCTCCAGCCAAAAATATATATAATTTTAGCTTTGGGTGGCATAGTTTTAGTTAACACCTTTCCTTTGCTGTCTGCACCCCTGTTCACGTTCTGTCGCTGTGATCGTTGGAATTTGAAAAAG